TTCCATTCTATAACCAGATCACATATGGGACTTAAACTTTCTGCATCTCAATATTTTTTGTCTATTTTGTAGGTTACTATTGCATTTTGTAGTTACTAATGTAGTGTGTGATACCTATTTATATACCTGCTTATATACATTGCATTATTCGGTTACTGGTCAGTGGGGATTACCATACATTGTTGAAAAACAAATATTGAGCAGCATTGATCAAACTGTAACCCATCATTTGTAGCTTTGTGCATTTTTTGTGCAATGCATGTTTTAAAAGTTGTAAAAAGAAGGCACTTAAAGGAGCATTATAGGGTCAGGAACACAAACATGTATTCCTGACCCTGTAGGGTCAAAACCACCATTCCTGACCCTTCATGCCTCCCTAAATATAGTACAATCTTACTTGTATTCAAGTCTGCAGCTGCTTACTTAGTCCCTGTTTCCTTTAGACCTGCCCCCTGCCTGCTGACATCAGCAGAAGTTGTAGCCTGATCCAATCACAATGCTTCAACATAGGATTGGATGAGACTGACAAAGAGGCAGACCAGGGGCAGAGCCAGCACAATTCAAACACAGCCCTGGCCAATCAGCATCTCCTCATAGAGATGAATTGAATCAATGTATCTCTATGAGGAAAGTTCAGTGTCTGCATGCAGAGGGAGGAGATACTGAATGTTTGGATGCATTTTAGGCAGCCATGACCCAGGAAGGATCTCTAACAGCCACCTGAGAAGTGACCACTGAAGTTATCACTAGGTTGTAATGTAAACACTACATTTTCTCTGAAAAGACAGTGTTTACAGCAAAAAGCCTGAAGGTAATGATTCTACTCACCAGAACAAATTCAATAAGCTGTAGTTGTTCTGGTGACTATAGTGTCCCTTTAATGTTTATCATGCTTCATATTAGTGGAAAGCAGAAGAAGTGGAAAACTGGAAGTGGAAAACTGCTATTAAGAAAATATTCACTCATGACTGTAGTGGGTGACACATCACGATGACAGTTGCAATGTAATTTGTAGGACTTATCACACTGTAAATGTGTTATGGTTATCTTTCCTCTAAAGACCTGTCATTACCAGAAGAACCCTCACACACACCTAAAATCTTTTCTTCTCTGGAGTGCACAGCACATTATATAAGAATGTTTAATTAGATGTAATTATCAACTAATATTTAAATGCAAAAATATCAATTATAAAATAAAATACATATTTTTTTCTCTAGTGATGTTTTCATTCAACTCTTCTTACATCCCACTGAATATGGATTTTTATGGTATATAAAGTGGGCAAACTCTGAATCTATTAATACTAAAGACAAACAGTGTGTGAGGAAGTAGAAAGCATGAAGAAAGTTAGTAATAATAGAAAAAAGCTGATTTAAAAATTGCCTTCTTCTTCTTCTTCTTCTCCTTTTTTTGATCATTTACAGGCTTGCAATTAAAAACTACTATTGAATTGGATTGGAGGTCACCTCATAGCCACAACTCTAAAATTCCAATGGCCATTTTCTTTCTTCCCCTGGAGGAAGTAAAAGGGGGGCATAGATGGGCTATGAACCATTCATCGATATGCATTACTGCTAATTATGATAACTGTAGAATATTCAGCATTTGATGTGTCAACACTGAGAATACTGAAGGGAAAATGTAAATGACAGAGACAATTCATTGCTAGTAGGGCCTACAGAGACAGTGACAAAATCTCCTGTGCTATGGACTTTTGGATGGACTTAAAGGCCAGCCTCCTGTCCACAGATTATGGGCCTGGTCTAAGAGTCCAATAAAGAGACTATTGTAAGTGGGGAGAGGGATATCTGTTCCCTGGATGCTTACTGTACTTCACAGCCTGACTTAAGAACCTCTGAGGATCACCTGGATTTGTTTGACACATCGAGCACATGACCAGGTGATTCCCTGAAACACTCTGGAACTGTTTTTCTGATTGGGATTGTGCCGAGGTCTAGTCAGTCTCTAAGCAGGTATCACTCTATCCCCTGTCCCCCCAAACAGAGCACGATTTGGAGGGGAGGTCGAGGAGGCATCAGGTGATACCTGTGGCTTGAGGCTGCTCCCCTCTCCATAGATCCATGAACCACTTTTTGGAGATCAGAACTAAGCCGTCACAAGCCTGGAACTCCTCGTTGGATCTGAGAATAGCTGAGATTCGGTAAAACGTTAACATGCTGTAATTTGAGCATGTCTCAGATCAGGGCGCTATATGGACAGCTAGCTTGCTCAGTAACAAGCTTTCAAAGGATATATGTGGTGGTACAATCTATGGAAAGGGGGTCCTGGCAGACATCTTTTGTGCTGTGCCTGTAGGACAGTGAGGGCACAGCAGGGAGCTGATTGTGTTACCTGGGGATAATGTAATTAAGTCCCCAGACAGGGTGATGCCAGGAGGAACAATTGTACTGTACATTACTTTGTATGGAGGACCATCTGCAGGAAAAGTCAACAATGCTGTGTATAAATAGCTGTGTTCTGTACAATAAATATCATTCTATTCAATGCATCCAGACTCATCTAATGTGTGAGGGAACAGCTATAGTGAAGATATAGACACTGTTTTAAAGGAGAGAAGGTCTCTTGAGCTGTATTCACTGTAGCTTGGTCTGGTGGAAGAGGTCCTCGGATACCTCAGTCAAGCTTTGACGACTGGGTTTGAAATGCTACAGGTTCTCCTGGTAGTAGCGAGGAAGCTAACCTGGCAGAGCTCTTCAGTTGGAATACGGGAGCTTTATCATAGAAACATGTAGGCTTGCGTCAAAGTATACAAACTGAACAGTGATAATTTCTTGAACTAATGCAGACTATTCAAAGATTTTGTGTGAATTAATGTCTTTTATCTTATATAAAGCCACACTTGATCATTCACATAGATAATTCGGTAATAAGGTAAATGCATAAATCTCATGATCCACCTATTCTTCTCATGTCTAAGAAAAGCTGATCTTGGATAAAAAGGAAAGTGATAAGTAGAATTATTGAGTCTTTAAACAAATGGGGGGGAGGGTGCAGGTTGAAAATACAAAGTAGTGTTTGGTCCGGTGCATATTTGGGACGTGTTTAAAGTCAGACAATGATTAGCAGGGCATCATAGCACAGATGTAGCATATACATCATGGCCGTTCTAATGTTGGGTACTGATCTTTCTATGCACACTACTTAAGAAGTAGATAACAAAACAACATGTGTTGAAAATTGTTGCCCTATTGATTGCTATGAGTTAGAAAAGATAGATTAGAACAATTTGATGGGGAAAGTGTTAGCAGGAAATAGAAGTTAATTAAGCAAATAGCAGTGTAAGTAATTTATAGTGAGAGTTGTCTGGTAAGTTGAAAAGTGCAGTAGTTCTGCAATTAATAGGGTTATTCACTAAAGCGAGAATTTAAGATGAATTCAAATGACATTTCAAAATTTAAGGTCAAAGTAGCCAAACTGGAAAAGTTCCTTAAATTTGAAGTTCACTTTGAATTCACCTTGGATTCTCACATTAGTGAATAGCCCTATGTATCTTTCATCCACTCAGAAGCTTCTCATTGACCTAATGTACCAAATGGAGGGACGCAATATGGGTCAGTGTATACTTGCAGTTTGACGAATTGTGTCCTTCTTCGCTGGATTGGTTCCATTACACAAGTGATGCATGTACTCCCCCTAAAGGAAGTCCCGATACCAGCTGCCACATGTAAAGATTTAACTAGGACTTTTGGTGAATTTATATCACCCTGGTTATTTACCAAGCCCATCAATTAAAACCTACAATTCTTTGATGTAGAAATGCCACAATAATAGGACATGTGACCCTTTTGCTTATGGCTAGGTGTGTTAAAATGTGATGGGCTTACAGGTGTTTTCTGCATGTGGCTCTAAACAGCAACATTCCAAGTGTTATCAACTAGTAACTGATTTCTCTCATTAAAATCAAACATAACAAAGACAATCTCACTTAAATAAAATGACTAAATTGTATGTGATTTTATTGTGCTAAAGTAAATCTCCTTGAACTTTTTTTTTTTAAATATAGTAGATATATCCCAAAGACAACTTGAATGTATTTTTGACCGCAGCCTTGCAAGTGTTCCCATTCTTCCACAGCATCAGGGAAATACACCAATCAGATGCTGCACATGTGTACACCATCATGGCTTTCTTATGCTTCTTAATAGGCCACAGTATAGCTCATAGACAAGGGGGGAAGCAGGTGCATTGCCCAGCATGTCTTCTGCTCCTCTAAGCGCTGTGGAATTAACAGAAGCAGAAGAAAACCTTGCTGCTGTCTGAGAGACAGCCGGGAAGGGCTTCTGCCCAATCACAATTATGACAACTTCAGACGCATAAAAGCAGTTATAGGGACACAATAGTCACCAAAACAACTTTAGCTTAATGAAGCAGTTTTGGTGTATAAATCATGTCACTGCAGTGTCATTGTTCAATTCTCTGTCATTTAGGAGTGAAATCACTTTGTTTATGCAGCGCTAAGCACACCTCCCTGCATGTGACTTACACGGCCTTCCTAAACACTTCCCGTAAAGAGTCATATAATGTTTACACTTCCTTTATTGCAAATTCTGTTTATTTTATAATTTCTTATCTTCTGTTCTGTTAAAAGCTTGCTAGACCCTGTAGGAGCCTCCTGTATATAATTAAAGTTCAATTTACAGAGCAGGATATAAAACATTTTAAAGTATGTTACATTCGATTGAAAACCATTTTTATTCATACAGGCTATTTCAGTGAAAGGCTTTTCCAGAAGGAAGGTATGGCTAGAGTTGGAAAAACAGACACAAATGTGATTTAACTCCTAAATGTTGGAAAATTGAGCAGTGAGACTCCAGAGGCATGATCTATACACAAAAACTGCTTCATTAAGCTAAAGTTGTTTTGGTGACTAAAGTGACAATATTTAAGTATATTAATATTAAGGTGACAATATTTAGGTGTCTTCCTTTAAGTTTGATAGTGAACAACGTTGTTAACAATTTTTTGTTCTATTCTAGTATCCGTGCAAAGTGGCCAGAGACAGATCACGTTGATGTTACCTAGAACCGCTAAAAGAAATGTTTCCAGGCAACGTGTCCCCAGTGTGGTCCACATTGAAGCATCTGATGCTGTAGAAATTCATGAACACATGTTCCAAACTCCACATAATTCATTGACCCATTTACTTAAAACCAGCAAAGAAGAGCATAGTAATTGTGCAGAACAGGAAAATATTCACAAAACAGAAAGATGTTCAAAGCCTGAGGAAATTCAGAAATCCAGCAACCAGGTGACCTCATGCAGTGTTGAAAATCCAACTGATGTTTTGGATCTCCTGAAGATGTCTATGAAAGGGACCAGTAGCTACGGTGGTGATGGAGATGAGTCGGGTAAATTGTTTTGTTTAATTTGGAAAATGCTTTACATGAATAAATTCTGTTATCCATTAAGCATGTCTTAATTTCAAATTTTAGGTCAAAATAAGAACTATATATATATATATTTTTTTCAAATCAATTTTTTTTATTAATCAAGATAGTATTACAGGAGATAACATTCCATAAGAATAACATGTTGCAAGATCAAGATCACGATAAGTCAAGTAGTATATAAAGGCATAATATCATGTTACTATGTATAACACAGAAACATAAATCAGATTATAATTTAGGGACATATACCAAATTATTTTATATTCATGTATGTCAGAAGAAATAGTATCCTTGTTTGATCTGTCCATATTAAAGGACCACTCTAGGCACCCAGACCACTTCAGCTTAATAAAGTGGTCTGGGTGCCTGGTCCATCTAGGGTTAACCCTTTTTTTCTATAAACATAGCAGTTTCATAGAAACTGCTATGTTTATGTTAGGGTTAATACAGCCTCTAGTGGCTGTCTCATTGACAGCCGCTAGAGGGCTTCTGCGTTTCTAACTGTGAAAATCACAGTGAGAAGACGCCAGCGTCCATAGGAAAGCATTGTGAATGCTTTCCTATGGACTGGCTGAAAGCGCGCACGGCTCCTGCCACGCATACGCATTCAGCCGAAGAGGAGGAGAAGAGGGAGGAGAGGAGGAGGAGAGCTGCCCGCCCGGCGCTGGAGAAAGAGGTAAGTTTAACCCCTTCCTCTCCATCCAGCCCGGTGGGGGCACCCTCAGGGCACTATAGTGCCAGGAAAACGAGTATGTTTTCCTGGCACTATAGTGGTCCATAAAGTCAGGAAATTACTGTATTAAATGTATCTTTTAAAGGAAAAGAAGGCATAAACTAAATAAATTGCTCCTCAAAAGAAGGAAACGGCCCAGTTAGTATCATACTAAACATCTTGTGAAATTGTTTTATTTTTACTAATGACTTTGGGTCGTATGTCAGTTTAGAAATAACTACATTTCGTAGAACACTGCAGTTTTTATTGAGTAAGGAATGACAATACAAAGGAACAAAAAATAAAACAAAGTCAAATAAAAGACAGAGATATTGAAATTGGAGATGAAGTAGATAGTTGAGTCGTATTTATAAGAGTAGTTGGAAGAAAGGATTATTATGTCACAATTTTCTCCTCATCGTCAACTCCTAAATTTTGATTTACCTCTGTATCATTAATCTTATTATTACACTGCACTGAATATTCTAACCATGGTTGTTGTAGCGGCATTAAGGAAGTGTCTCAAAATATATATTTTTATATAGACAGATATTGGCATTGAGGTGATATGTAGAAGTACTAAATCTGCATTAAAAGGTGGCCTTCACCCAAAATCTCAGAAATTGTGTTTTTACCATAATCCAAAATGGAATTATTTTTGACGAGAGCTATATATTTATTTTATGCTCAGCTATTTTACACATTGGGTCCTTATTATCTAAAAAATTTTTCTCTAATAATGGATAAAATACTTAAAGATAATGATGTGCTATTATTTGAATTAAAGTATTATCACTGCTTTCAGTATACAATCCACACAATTTTGAGGTTTTGTATTAATGTCTTTTTAGAGGTGTGGATTGAGTTAGAGGGTTATTCACTAAAGAGATAATTCAAAGAGAATTTTACATTTAAATGGACATTCCAGACTCCTAAAGCACTTCAGCTACCTCTAGTTTCCTGAGGTGCTTTATGTGTGAAGAATGTGTGTTCATCTAAAAAAAAAAAAAAATCTGATTTCCATAGAAACTGGCACTTTTATAAATTAACCTTGTTACAACCCTCCTTTCAAGCTGACAACATCTTATGTTACTTCCTGGTAACTCAAGAGCCAGCAATAAGAACACCTGCCTTGCAAAGACTTCTCATTGAGCTGCATTGGGAAGTCTGTGATTGGACAGTCACAGAAAGTTTGGTCTGGGGAAGAAGGGGAGGGCTTGCAAAGGCAGCAGGCAAGAGAACTGCAGATTATGCAATCTGTTTTATTAGATATATTCCCAATGAAATAATACATAATTAACTGCATGCATTCTTTCATTTAAGGGATATCTATTAAACAGTGTTTTTCTTTGTATTTGGGCAGTAGAGTGTCCCTTTAAGGTCAATGCAGCCAAACTGGACGCAGAGCTGATTTAGAGAATCATTCCAGTTTGACTACTCTGCCCTTAACTTTGAAGATCACCATGAATTGTCACTTTAGTGAGTAACCCTCTAAGGCTTGGCCTGCATTTTCTATGAAAATCTCCTACATGGTACACACTCACAGGTCTCCTGAAGGGATGCAACAAATATCCATCCCTATTTGGCAAATTAAGAAATTATTATTTGGATTTAAGAACAAAAGTGAAGTAATTTAAAAAAAAAGCCATGTATGTAAAACATTTTTATTTTGCAAAACTTTAATCTTGTTACAGGGTGACTATCTGTCCTGATTCACATTACCACACGTATTGTGTGAATGATGCCACTGTGTACTACAAAGTTCCTAATTTCAGGTCATATATGTTCCTACATGTCTTAGATTAGTCAGATTTTGGGTCTCAGTCAGCAGCTGCAATTAGCGTTTGCTGCAATTAATTCCTGCCATGCTGATATGTCACAAAAATATCTGTGGAGACAATACAGTTCTATCTCTCTAGCTCCTTAACAGGCATATCAGTAACAGAATACGAGATTAATTAATATAAGCAGCTGCAAAATCAAATTATGTCATGATACTGCCCCAACATTAAAGGAACCTTAGTCTCCAACATGAAATCTACTCTAACGCTAATTTACAAAAGAAAATGTCATATGAAAGATACATAATGTGATTTTTTGAGGGAGGAAATAATGCCATTTCGGTGTTCTGGAGTTATTCTCATCATCAATTTTGATGTCTACAATGCAATGCTAGGCCAAGTGCATGAACATGAAATTTCTATAGCCAGTCACTAATATGTTTTATACAGTAGTAATGATTAGAGATGTTTCAGTCTGAGGAACATATTTATTTTCAAGTGGTGTAATTAAAACATCACTTTTAATTTATTCATATTAAAAACACCATTTGTTTAGGTGTGCTCATTTGTGCTAAGTTTTTAATTTTAATATGAATTAATTATTTACACCACATTTTCCACTGCATTGTTTCATAGGACTAAAACCCCTTGGTCCTGTGGTGGACCATCTCATACAGACTGGTTCCACAACCTTTCTTAAGGGTACAGTTTTCTATATATTTCTTTTCAACCTGTATATTTGTTGGTTATAAATAAAGAGGCCACTATAAATTAGAAACTTGCCGATAAAATACATATTAATGGATCAATTAGTGCGAAAAAACGAGATATGTGAATTGTTACAATTATTCCTATTTCTACAGGATTGTCTGGAAGAGTGTCGTGTTCTAGCACTATCTACAGATCTTGCAGCACTTCATTATCACATCTGTGTTCTTCACCATCCTTTTCACTCGATGTGGAAGATACATCTGGAACCGGGGGAAATGTTAGCAAATTCTCCAACAAAACCATCTTGTTCAAAAACTCTCCCATTGCCGCAAACGAATACGACAACAGTGCATGGAGTCCTCTCCTGAGCAGTTGTAGTAACCATGACGAGATAGAACTTCTTCAGACATCATTGCATTCTATCGAAAATGGAAGCGGGACCTCAAAACCTACATCTTCTTTCGTTGAAATTTGGCATAACAGTCTTCTTCAACACTGGCCAGTTCTGCCACCTATCTCCCCACAAAGAGGTTAATAACTGTTTATTTTTTCCTATCCTGCTTTCAGATTCCATATGGTCTGTTCACAGACCTTTGCTTGTGTGTGGCTGAATGCCTGCTTGCCTGGACTGCTGTGAGGGAATTGTTCTACTTTCACAGGCCGTCCTCAAATCAATGCATGAACGTAACAACAGAAAGTGCCTCAGATGTAGTGGTTTCCACAGGACCATTGTTAGGCTTTTGTCAAGCATTTTTGAACCTAATAAATAATGTCAAAAGCCTCTATCGGGGCCAAAAATGTTCCCTTTCAAACATTTCTAATAGTATTTTTGTTCTGTCATGTCTCCCTGTGTTACAAAGAATTTGTACGATACAAAAAGAAAGTTCCTTATCGCGTGCCACACGGGAAATTGTGCCCTGTTTGTCATTATTATCCTTACTTTCTTCTAAAGAAATGACTTTCAGGGACTATTTTGTAGAAAATAAATTGAATTAACACTTTAATCTTTTTTTCATAAGCAATTTGTATCATGTATAATTAGAGTCAAACCAATGTGGGGGAAAAATCAGTGTCGCATTTCGCTGGGCTAACTTTTAATCTGCAGGGATTCATTATTACATGATTATCTGTTAGTGACCGCTAGAATAATAATGTCTGACGCTATGCAGTTTGGCGATTATAAACCCCCCACTAGGCAAAACCTAAATAATAATAAATATAATGCATGTTGGTAATATAGCTCAGGGGATGAATTCAGTTAATGTAGAGTAGCTCTTCAAACAACAGGTTTGAATTCTGGCAATGCCCATACAAGTAAAAAGTAACAAAAATTTAGTATGTTCGTTTATAATAATATCTTTTATTCAGTTGCTTATTTAGTGAAAATGGATTGTGCTGTAGAACTCTTTGAGGCACCTTGAGAGAAAGTGCTATACTAAAAAAAAATTACAATATAATAAATAAAATTATTGTTATTATTACTATGTTTGCTAAATCTAAGCCTGGAGCATTTGTTGAATGTTTTCTGCAGACAAGTTAGGACAAATCTATCTATCTATCTATCTATCTATCTATCTATCTGTCTATCCATCTATCTATCTCTGTCTATCTATCCATCCATCTATCTATCTCTGTCTGTCTGTCTATCTCTGTCTGTCTATCTATCTATCTCTGTCTATCCATCTCTATATCTATCTGTGTCTGTCTGTCTGTCTATCTATCTCTCTGTCTGTCTATCTATCTATCTAATCTCT